GTTTGCTGTTTGCTCTCACAGTGTTACACTAGACTGTGCATATTTTGCCAGCCAGTGGTTCCAAACAGATTCAGGCTCCCACTTCTGCTGCATATTCCTCTGTATTTTATGGAACTGATGGCTTACACTTAGAGAACAAGTGAAAACATACAAACTACATAAATAAGCTCAAGACAGCTCCCTCCCTGCATGGAGGCTTAACATTTAATTGATGTACATTACAGCAGGATAATTTCTCACAGATTTAAAAAGTGGCAACAGTGTTCATCAGAGCAATTGCTTATTTGCATTCCCTCACCCTGTATTTGAAAACTGCTTTCCTAGAGCAGCAGCTCTGCTGAGGCTGTTGCAGTGGTTTGCTGTGAAGCTTTGCCTGCTTGCAGAAAACCAGAAGGCAGTTTGTAAGAGAAGAGTTTTAGACTGGATATTAGGAAGATTTTCTTCACAGAAAGGGTTGTCAAGCGTTGGAATACATTCACCTGGGGACCAGCTACAGCTGACCCACAGCACTGGGTGAGCATAGCCCCCACCAGCATTAGGGTTACCTCACTCTTCTTTTTGACACCAGTTTCTTTAGTTTCATGTCTCAGTGACTTTCACTTCCATCTCTCAAACACTACCAGCAGCTGGCACAGAGGAAGGACAGCTGCCTTTAAGTTCCTCTTTATTGCTGTTTTACCCTGTGCCTGTCAGAGGGCAGAGGACAATCTGCCCACTCGGACAGCTGCCTCATCTAAGCTCACCCCCATGGTTGTTTGCTGGGATGGAAAAGGCCTTGGGTGCCTCTTGGGTGGTGAGTGCCCAAGTAATTATTCCAGAGAAGAATTACTGCAGGGTGAGGTATTATTCTTCATCAGAAAATAACTGACTCAAAAATACCATAGTACCTTCTGCAGTCAGGCTGTGAGAGCTGTTCCCAACACATCCCCATGAGCCCTCTGCCCAGCAATCCTCCTGGGGGCTGCTCTGGAGGTGCACAGATATTGCTCTCCTCTAACTATGTGGCCCAGAGCTGCAGCTAATCTCACTCGCATAGACACAGACCCTTTTCTCAGCTAATCTGGCTCAAACCTCTGCACCACAGAGCAATCTGCTATCTCTGCTGGCTGCTCCGAACTTCTGAGAAGCAACGTTAGGGAAACACCTCCCTCCCAGCAGCCCCATGACCTGTAACTTGTCTTTCCCTGCTCAACATTATTTAGCTCTTTAAGCATTATAAACCAGCAAATACCCTGTAAATACTTGCAGATCCTGCATATAAGACTTTCTGCTAAAAATTGGTATGTTCATCCTCATTATGATTCCTTTCATCCAAATGAAAGAGGTGGCATCAGCAGTGACTGCACCCTGTAGTTAATGATCCCAGGTATTTGTACAAGTATTTCTCAGCATTTTAAAGCAATTTGTTCAAGCAGCCAAGAAGCCATAATGGGACTCATTATAATTAGAGTAGTTGCCACTGAAATTCAATGTTTGCCTGCAAAACTACATATTCATCACATTTGTTCTATGCTTCAAACACATGGGGAAAAAGCTCTCATTTTGTGGCAGACAGGTCCAGAACAGCACACTGGAGCCTCTGCTGTCCAACAGCTGGGCTTCTCCATTATTTATAACTTCTATACATCAGCATTCTGCATTCACATCAGGTCACCTCATTGCAGCCAAAATTATCTCATCAGCATACTAAGGTACAGCTTTAACTGCTGAGAGTTTTTTAATCCTAAATTTCTCTGTAAACCGTACCAAGTATCTTACCTGCCTAAATGAATGGTCTTTTTGTTTTGTTTTATCTTGCCTTACCTGAAAGAATTGGCTTTTTATTTTATCGCTCCTTAAAGTGGTGAATCAAAATGTTAATCTCTGTTTCAATTAAGTCTGAAAAGCAGCATGACCTACATTCTTATCTAGTCAAAAATAAGCTAAGATATACTCAAGAGGGTCTTCTTCGAGGGTGGAGGAGTTCTCACTCTTCCAGATACTTCATATGCTACAAGAAGCAGCAGAACAGTTTTAGTTAAGCAAAGGAAATGCTCTCATAAAAATGACTGAAATTGCCAGGTCTCCACCCACTCCTTTCTCAGACAAGGGCACTACTGAGCTCAGCCTCCCCTCCTAAGTGGGTTGCAGAGCCACTTCCCATGGCTGGATCACAGAGAACAGCAGCTACCACAGCCCTGAAATAAACAGGGAGGAAACAATTCACCTCCTGTGCTCCTTAGGACAGTTTCTGACTAGGAAAACCAAGTAGGATTGTTGATTTGCTCAGAGGTCTAGTGATGCATTGCATGATTCCTCTAAAGGTCTTAAACATTAACACAAGAACAGGATAGGGCAGGACAGGATAGGGCAGGATAGAGTAGAGTAGATGACACTAGACTAGATCAGTCTAGACTGACATATTTGAGTTGGAAGGGACCCACAGGGATCATCTAGTCCAACTGCCTGAGCCCTTCAGGGCTGACCAAAAATCAGCACATTATTAAGGGCATTGTCCAAATGCCTCTTGAACACTGACAGTTTGGGGCACTGAACACCTTTCCCATTTCCAGAAAGCTTGTTCCAGGGTCTGACCACCCTCTTGGTATACAAATGCTTCCTGATGTCAAGTCTGAACCTTACTTGAGGAGCCTTAGTTAAATTATCTTTTCGCTTTTTTTTTACCATGGACATGCAGCAATATATGGAATTTTTCCTTTGGGATCACCTGCCCTCAGTTTTACAGCTTTTGCCCAACCATGCCATGTGCCTGTATTTATTTCTTTGGACAATCATTGGTGTAACAATTCTACCACTACAGCAATGCCCCCAGGGTTAGAGATTTCCTCCAGGTACAGGCTGCCAACATGTCCACATGTTCAAGAGAGAACAATGCTGCAGAAATCACCCAGGTAGAGAACATGTCCTTTCACACCAGTCTTCCCAGCATAACCCAGCTTCATGTTTGCACTTCCCCAGGGATTTGCCTACACTCTCCTGCTCTTTCCAGTAAGCTGGGTAAGCACAGGATGAGAAAACTTAGTACAATCTGCTACAAACAAAAAATAAGCCTTGCAAGTGAAAAGAGCTGACAAGTCATTTGTTGTGTTCCTGAGATCTGTGAGCAGAATTCCCACAGCTCATCCTGAACACATATTCATTTAACAGAATTAAAGAGTAGAAATCAGCATCTTTTACTAACCTTGATTAAATAGCTCATATTTGAGTGAAGAGAGGGAACAAGGAAGGAAAGGTCACACCTGTTCTGAAAGCAATTCCAGGACAGCTTTATTCAGTATGACCTTTGATGCCGTTTCCATCTCTGATTAGAAGCAGTGCCTACTCTCTATGTGTGAAAACAATAAGGCTTTTTGCTCAGGGTGCACAGGCTGATACACCTGCTCTCCTAGCTGGTTTTAGCTCTGGCTAGTGATTATCTAGGATCCCATCACCTCTGCATGGTGAAGATAAAGCAGATCTTGTGGACCTCCTGCACCAAGAGGCAGGTATGAGCACCAGGATGTGTATTGCTCAACCTAGGAAAAACAGAGCTCGCAGACTTTCCTCCTCCTGCCTCTGCCATTCCCCACTGTGGTATTTACATCACTCAGTTTCTAAAGAGCTAATAAGCTTGTTGATTTCTGGCCCCAGATAAGCTGCTTATCCAGAGGAATGGTATATTCCCTGCTGCCCTCAGGTAAGAAAAGGTGTGCAGAATTCAGTAACTACAAGCCTCTACTCTGGAGTGGTGCAGGTAAGGACACAGAAGGAGCTCGAGATCCCAGCAGTGCATTCACCTCTGCTTACAACCCTTTAGAAGTTTATCCATGCTATTTTGAAAGCAGATTACACTTATACAAAACATTAACATTGTAGCAGATTGAAGTTACCTAAAATTAAAAATGGCATCCTGAGTCTTCTAACAATTGTTCAGGTTATAACCAGCATTTAATTAGCTTTATACGTCTTTCTGAAGTCACCCAAAGCCAGAAATTGATTAAGCAGCCATCAGACCTTTGTGCAGTGCTCCATTTGAACATGATTTTCAGCTGCACTGTGACATGGGAACAGGTTTATAAGCCACATAAAATTGTTTTCTGCAGGTAAGCACTAGAAATCACAGACACTGCTGTACAGGAAAGCTGTACAGGTGAAGCAGTGAATTAAAAACAAAATAGGTCTGTATATTATCACACACAATGACAAAACAGAACCCAGAGGAAGTAAAAGACACAATGGCATGTGTTTATGTGAATGGTATTAGAACACAGGAATAAGATTTTAACACATACTCATTCTTCTGTTTTTCTTCTGTTGGCACCACCATAGTTACACTAAGAGGTGATTTTGAACTAGCACAAAGAACACCTGTGCCCTCTGTCCATGGATCCACGGTACCTCATGCACTTTATTTCAGAGGGGACATGTCTTTGGGATATCTGAGGGTCAGGACTCCCACACTGAAATTCTCGTTGCCTTGGGGATAAGGATCCTGTTGTGCTCGCCCTTCACCCCCTGATGAGCAGACAGTTCTCAGGGGAGCTTTCCTGGTCACTGTGGGATGAACAGCAATGCTTGGTTCTCACCTTGAGCTGTCCTGCTGCCCCAGGTGTCCTGGGCTGCCTCTGCTCCTAAGGCTCTTAGGCAAGCTGCACCTTGATCCCACTAACCAAGACAGAGCTCTTCCCTGCTGCAGTTTAGCATCAGTTTAACAAAGCCAATTAAAAACCTCTCTCCAGCTAATCTGATGCAACCTCCCCTGCAGACCAGGCTCAGCCAGGCACTGCTGGGGAGGAAAGGAAGAAGCTGCAAGGGAGGAGGTCACGCTCAATCCTCTGCTGTCTCACCTTTTGGCAACACTAATTCCTCTCAAGACAGGCAAGTTCAAGGACAAGCCCTGACAACCCACTGGCATCATGTCCTCTCCAGGGGCCTCACTTTAAAATGCAATTTCAAGGAATCCTCCTTCTAAAATTTGTTCCACAAACTCATTCAAACTGACTATATTTTAACAGCCTTACCTGTAGAAGCCTTGGTTATCATATGCCATGTTAGTCACATCATCAAATGCAGATTTATTCCTGAGTTTCTTATTGTTGTTGTTATTGTTTCTTCCCTTAAAACCAAAGTAAGCAGCTTGCATGTGCTCTAGTTCTTCAGTCCTCAGCTGGTACCAGAGCTGCATATCTCTGTGAACACAGCAAGGGGTAGAATGCACTTTCATGATATACATCTGTATGGCTCAGCTTTTATCTGAGCACAGCCCCAACTCTCTAGAGCTCAAGTCTAATTCCAGGTTTACTGAAAACATCACTTAAGCACATGCTGAACTTCACATGTAAGCCAAATCTCTAGAGATTTAAATAAGGTGGGGAGTTCTTAAACAGCATAAATATTATTCTGTAATATAGTGTTAAGTATTGTCCAGCATTCCTCAAATCCAAACAAACAAACAAACAAAAGAGCTATTTTCTTATGAGCACCTGTGAATCGTTCAAAGGAACAAAACCCCAATAATTGCATCGATTTGATTCAGTGGATTTTGAGACTATGGGTAATAGGAAAAGTCACTTAAGGTGGGATGTTGTGTTCTCATGGACCTTCATCAGTGACGCACGTCAGGCCACATCCTGTTGTGTGTGAAAAGACTACAGGCCATCCCCATTTTATGGAATAAATTATTTCAGGGCAAAAAAAAAGAATTTTCTGGGAATTTTTGCAGCACTGCCATTCTTAAGAGTTCCAAAATCACCAGACAGGTTGAAAAAAATTAATTGACTTAAAAATGAAGGAGATAGGTAATGCTGATTTTGTTAAGAGTAAGATGTATTCCCTTGTCTTCCGGATTCCCTTTTGGAAGCAGTCAAGGCACTTTTCATTCTGCTTTCTACAGCTCTGGGGCAAGAAACAAACAAATCACAATATCTTTTCTTGTTTTTAAAAGAAGTCTAAGATTCACAGAATCATGGAAAAGCTGATGGGACAAGTTTAAATTGTGAGGCTGGCAATGCTGATTTGGGGGATATTTCTGTCCTCTCAAGATTCAGTCCTGCTTCTTCCAAAGAAAACAGCAGCCATGCTTACTCACTGGGACAAAGTCTGCAAGGAGACTGAGTGGTAGAAGGACTTTCAGGAGACTTTGTCCTTTTTGCTTCCAAAAAACATGTGAATGTGGCACTTGGGGACATGGTTTAGTGCTGAACATGGTGGAGGTGCTGGATTGACAGTTGGACCTGATGATCTTAAGGGTCTTTTCCAACCTTAATGATTCTGTGGTTCTATAAACACAAGATGTCACTTCAAAGATCATTAGACAGCTTGCAAGACAGGTTTGTAGGCAGAGGTGATCTCTTCCAGTAGACCAGCTAAAAGCCAAAGCATACCTCAGAGCTAGAGGCAAGATGTGCACATCCTCCCTGCTCCACAGGTACAGACTGCCTTGTCTTTCAGAGATGGTCTAAGAGACACTTATTTCACTAATCCCTTCCAGGTGTTCTCACTTTGTATTAAGTTATCAAACCTGCAGCTTTTAGTCAGATTAATGCTTTGTGCATCAGAAGTTGATCCACTCTATCACTAAAAGAGATGCTGCCACTGCCCCTGGCACTCTTGCAGGGTCTAGCAAGTTTCACTTAAGGCTGTGTTACTCTTTCTCCCATGACATGGACAGCTTGTACATCAGTTCTTTCTGACAGAGGGGACAAGCCACACAATGTGCCCCAGGTTCCCCCCTGGAGCAGGGCTCTGTTGTGGATGTGATGGAGCAGCTCCTTCAGGAGACAGGGAAGGTAGCATGGAGGGCAGCAGGGAACTGAGAAGCTCCCAGGAAAGGGAATCATTTTACATCCTGATGACAGAACCAGGTCAAGATGTCCAGTGTGAAGGGCTTTTACTTTTTTAAGAGAAAAATATCAAGTCATCAAACTCATGTGAACAGCTAATTTTGACAAAACTTCATTTACAATAAATGAAAAACAAGGGCTTTGATATGAATAGTCTTATCAAAAAGAAAAGTGATGATTCCAAAAGTGTCAATCAACCCTTTCATTTCAAAACTTATTTCATGCTATCAGTGAAAACCTAATATTATGAATGACACCAAGGGCTTTCATTTTTTGACTCATAAAATCCTCTCAAGGGAAACAGAAAATCTGTATTTTGGCTACACTCAGATTTCAAATGACAGAATTTCCCTCCCCAGCTAGTTCGCACGCAACTCTAGACAGCTTGGTGCAGAAACCTTCACCGGTGTCTTCCCCAGTCTCCCTCATCTCCATTGGAGGGACCAGTGGGAATAACAAGCAGAAAAAGTGAGAGGGAAACAAAATGTCCATGGAAAGCCTTCTGCAGCTGGGACTGTTGGGTGGATGCCCTTGTGAGCAACAACGGCTCAGCTTTAGCCTAGAGCCAGATGTGCTCCTGCTGCCACTCTCCACACTGAGTTTTTATGATGAACTGGATTGAAAATACGACTTCTTCCTGCTCCTGTATAGAATCCTGCCTGCCAACCTGTGGTGTGAGCCAGAAGACAAAATCCACCATCTTTCCAGCACCACACTGTGACAGCTCTAAGGATGGTCTGCAGACAGTGAGGGCTTGGATGGCTTTGACATGGGCAGATTAATTTTCCCAGCAGTGCTCAAGGAAAGCAAAGGAAAAAAAGGAAAGAGAGAAGGAGAAGAAGAAGAAACACCACCCATCTTCAATAACTTGAGGAGAGAAAGGCTGGGCCAGAAAATAAGACTTATGTGTTCAGCTTGTGCATAATCCTAGGTAAATCCAGTTCTGCCCAGGCCCACTGGGGTTATCTGATATTAACAGACATCAGGTGCTTAAATACTCTGGAATTCTAAGGTTTTTTATACCTAAAGCCTGACCTAGAAATTAGGGACTTTAAGTAATTAACATCACTGTGGTGCTGTGAGCAGCAAATCCTTTGAAGCTCTCCGCTATCACGGTTGTGGGGTCTGCATGATGTACACTCTTACATTGGCTTTAAAATCTCTTCTTGACATACCTCTGAGTCCTCCTCCTTTCACTTTTCTTCACACACTTGATCAGACAGCAAGTTAGGAAAGCCATGGACATCAGCAGAATGACAGCACAGCTCACGATGGAAGCAATCACTGCGACCCTAAAGCCAAAAGTCTCGTATTTTGATATGGCTGCAGCAAAGAAAACACAGAAACACATTTCTAAGATCACTCCACAAATTTATCTTTCACAGTTTCATTAAACCATGCCGAAACCTACCTGCTTCACACTTATGCTCAGCAAGGACTTTCACATTAGTATGTGTCAAGATACCAGAGTATCTAGGTTCCACTTAGAGCTCTGCAAGCCTAAAACTGGACTATTTAAAAATCTTCTAAGTTACTAATGAAATGTTCACTAGTATTTCACAGCTGCAATTAACTAAACACACTGCCTTTAGCACTGCAGTAGTTAAAAAGCACAACTGTGTTGGCAGGTCAAATGCAGATGAGCTGCAGAGCCTTATTAACAAGTACTGGAGCTGCAAAAACAAATACTGACAGGGCTAAATGGGTTTAAAGAAGACCCAGATCAAGAACAGTTCCATGTAATTACATCCTATTTGGCAGGCAGCAAACAGGTTTTCCTCTGCTAGGGGAAGGATGCGGGATGGAAGAAGTGACCTGCAGGACTGAGTGTTCACGGGGATCTGATGCTGGAAGTGAGTTATCCAGACAAAAGGAGGAGTGGGATTGTGATACGGAACAGCTAACGCAGGTGTCTGCCAACTCACTTGGAATACTAAGCATGTCCTGCTTCAAAACTCATCTAGTTCTCCTAATGTCACAATGACCAGCATCACAAATGGTGCAGCTGAGCTCCACACAAAATATTGCATTTCTGCAGCCTTAGGGGGAAGGATTTATCTCATTCTTCTTTTATAGCAGCTCTCAAACTAGAGGTAAGAACAGCTAAGTGCGTTGAGAGAGCACAAAGTGTCTGTAAGAACCATCCATCCACCAGGGATTTGAAATGGCACAAGGTCTGAGACTCAGACTGAGGTGCTCAAAGCTCAGAGGTACCAAGTTTTGCTTGGGTCTACTTGTAGTCAAACTACTAGCAACCTTGTAACAAATATACAGGATCACAGCACAGAAGGTAGTTAATGTTGTTGCCTTTCAAACACCATTTGTCAATACAGTAACTTTCCCATATGGCTGCCCACAGACAACACAGAATTGTTCAAAGAGTATCACTGTGTTTCTTTACAGCAAAAACATTGTCAGAAAAGACTGCCAAGAGATTAGAGGTTTGCAAATATGCTTGCACATTAGTTGATCACAACCATACATTCTCTAAAGAAGAGTACAGCTTGCAGCTAGAGCCACGGTTATTCTGTGTGCAGCTGTACCAGTGATGGGAGATCAGGGATGGATCCAACTGAGTCTTTTCTGTGTCATGATAATGACTGATGTCAGAACAACATCAGTGGGACAACTTTGAAGAAAAAAGAATTTGTCTATTTCTTTGCACAAATGTCTAGAATGAATCCTAATTGTTGCAGGAGATAGGCAGGGCAAAACGAACTTAACACAGCCCAAAGGGATGGTGAATGGTTTGGGAAGAATCTTACGCTTGCAGGAGGGCACTCCAGCTGTCCATTGGGTGCTGTTCTCTTTCCAAATGCAGGTGATGATGCCTGGTCCCTCCAGCTGGTGCTCTGCAGAGCACTGGAACATGACCACAGTCCCCACGTCTGTGCCATTGCCGTGAACGATCTGGAGTGTGCCGAGCTGCGGCGGGAGGAGGCGGCTGCACTGCCCTGCAGAGCAAACACAGAGCCAGACAATGCAACACCACAGCCTATAGTGAAGGTCCACTGAGGTTTTAGTGCCACCACATGGTAAATCAGTCCTAGTTAATGGTCAAAACGGATACCAGACCTTGCGGTGATCAATGCTATCTGCTCTGCCGAGCACCAGCCCATGGCCAGTCCCCATCGGTGCCATTCAGCAGCTCCACTGCCCTCATGATGCCCAGTGCAAAGACATTATGTGCTCAGATTGGTACATATTAAACATTGAAACACTAAAAACACTACAAAGAAAGTGATTTCTGAGTGGTATGGTTTCCTACAGACCCCTGCCTTGTTGGATTCAATACTTAGGCTGGCATCTTCCATGCCAGGAGTATTCATTACACATCTATGATCTAATGGATTAATCATATATTTCAGCACTTCAGACTACTTGGTAGCATCTTGGCAGGATCCTGCAGAAACTTCCTACCTTTGAGAGCACTGCACCTCTGTCTGGCTTGGCTGAAAGGAACTGAGGCTTTCAAAACCACAGGGAGAGGCAGAGAAATGTATACATACATCTATTTTATTTTTAATACTAAAACTCCCCCTTGGTCATTAATTGCTGTGTAGCTCCTGTGATCACACTGCAGCAGACAGGCTTCCCACCTACTGCCCTCACAACCCCAGCCTCTGGAAAACCAACCCAAAGGAATCTCAGCAAAAGGCCAAACAAAAGCCGCAGCGACAATTACTTGGCTAATCTACTGAGTAAATATGTACCAAGCACTAGCTTTTAAAACCATGCCTCTCTAATTCCATGCAGATTATTTCTGTTTGTTCTGCCACTTCTTTCAGTCTCTTACTATGGCACCAATTTGCCTCAACGAGAACAAATACTTTCTAGAGGGTGTTTTCCCTTCATGTCTTGTCCTTCCCACCCACATCCCATTCCTAAAACACAGGGGATGCATTGGACAACTTTTCTCCTCACTCTCGATAAGCATTATGAGTCTGTGGGTTTCTATTTTAATCACTCAGTGACTTACCATGAAAGATCCTAAACTGCAAAATATAGATTTTACATATATGATACAGATATTTATTTATTTATTTATTTATTTAGAATTTTACACTTTCAAGGCTATTTTTAGAGACTGGATCACATTCTTAGAGTTTCTGTTGGTGACACTTGCATCTGCACAAGATGCAGAAAGCAATTCAGAGCCGAATTTGACTCAAAGCACACCTACTGAGCCACCACAGCAGCCTCAGTAGAGATGTTCAGAAAACTTGCCAGAATATCTGGACTCATTAGTCAGACTCTGCTCTCTCAAGAACAGATCATTTGGCACCGGGTCCTTTCTTTCAAGGCATATTTCATTTAATCCAGCATTGACCATCCTGAGTAACATGTTCAGCTGTGGCTGGTTCAAGTGCTTTGACCCTACCCTATCCTTGCCCTTAAGGACAGCTTAAGAGAGAGCTACATGTCTGAAAGCTTCTATACCTGAGCTGAAAGTTCACCAACAATTTCACGGACCTGCATTTGGCCAGACGAGAAACACCATTTCTTCTTCTAAGAGCTTCTCAACACCATTTCTTCCCACTGAAGTCAAAACGATAAATGTGTCGCTGCATTTTGTGTTTTACAAATGCATCTACCGAAATACCCAGATGGACTTTTGCCAGTATATGAATTTTGTGAATTTCATCCAAGCTGAGATTTAGCATCTCTGGATAAGACTTGCCCTAATTTTTATCAGCAATGGTCTTCTCATTTGGAAAACCTTTCCTGCAAGCTCTAGCATCCCTCCTTATTAACTGTCTATGTTTTTGTGGTTATCCATGGCACTCACTTTTCTGCTGGATTAATTTTGCCATTGCATCTCCAGAAAATCATGTTTAAGTAAGCTTCCATCTCCATACTTACATAAGCACATGTTCCATATAGACTTCTCCTTTGAATACTCTTCAGGCATGTTTATCTGACCAAATCTACTACAATAAAAAATTTTATCATTGTTTTCATTAATGAATTTATATTTTTGTTTTCAGCTCAGGCTGATGTCTGAGGCTGCATTGCTGTCTGAAGAAAAAACACAAACACTGCACTTTGTGCTTACCAGATTTACATCTTGATTTATATTTCTTTCATAAATATCTAGAAAATGTCATGTTTGGGTCTTTGTTTGCAGTAATTGTTAGCTCCCAAAAAATGAAAAAATGAAAAATTGTAAAATTGAATAAACTCCCTAATAAGAGGATTGGAGCACCTCTGACATAAGAGTGCTGAGGGTGTTCAGCCTAGAGAAGAGAAAATTCCAGGGAGAACTTAGAGCCCCTTCCAGAAAGGGAAGGGGCTCCAAGAAAGATGGAGAGGGACTTCGGACAAGGGGCTGCAGGGACAGGACAAGGGGGAATGGCTTTCCACTGCGGCAAGATTAGATGGGATATTGGGAAGAACTTCTTCTCTGTGAGGGTGTTGAGGCACTGGCACAGGGTGCCCAGAGCAGCTGCGGCTGCTCCATCCCTGGGAGTGTCCAAGGCCAGGTTGGATGGGGCTTGGAACAATCTGGTCTAGTGAAAGGTGTCCCTGCCCATGGCAGGGGGGCTGGAACTCGAGGGGTTTTACAGTCCCTTCCGACCCAAAACATCCTGTGGTTCTATGGTTCTGTGATTCAAGTTCCTGTAGCTACTTCTGCAGCTTCTTGTAAAGCAAGAGGTGATTTATACAAACATGTTTCTCAGCATGGCCTCACACTGAGAGGATATCCACTGTTCAAAAGGTCTCTGAACCTGCTGCTACTGTCTGGCAGCACAGAAGGACACTAGCTACAGCAAACAGATCATTGCACATGACAAATAACTGTCCTCAAAGCAAAGACACTAAAGAGCAGTGTCCTCCATAAATTCATAATTCATCCCAACCTCTGGGCTCAGAAACAGCCACAAACAGACTTTCCAGGCAGTGAAAAGCAGAGCGTAATGCAAGAATTAAAGCAAAATAATCCAAAATATCTCTTCTCATGCATAGCCAGGATTATCTGTATTGTAAAATTGATTTGTCAAAAATAGGAAGCATATGGTTTCGGTGTCAGCAAGCTGTGGGTTTGTTTTGCTTGTAAGAAATGAGAGAGCAACCTAGGCACGCCTGCCTGGTAAACATTTCCTGTCTCCTTTCACAGCAAAACAGAGACTGAAAATCAAATACACTGCATAAGTATTCACCAAAATTATCTGAACTACAGAAGTAATTACCTGTGAACACACCAGCAAGGCTGCCACTCGCTGTCTGTGCAGAAAGGGAGTGATCCATGCCTTTGCCTCATTATTCCCAAACACACATAACTCAGCCCTTTGCATCACTTACTGTTGGCTATTTAATGCCACTAAAACATGCTGGAATAATCAGGTGCCAGAAAGAGACAGAACATTAGGTTCTATCCACCCTGAAGAAAATAAACAGGCCAATATTATTTCTGCAACTCTCTTTTGCTACAGAAGCACACCTTGGAAATCAGTGTCCCTGAAGTCACAGGTGTGACATTGAGCATCCGCAGCAGTCTAACAGAAGAGCTCTGGGACGAGCTCACTGTGTCAAAAAGCAAAAGAAAAGCAGCTAGAAGCAAAACATGAAATAAAGAGATGTAGCAAAGCATCTTGTGTAGAGTGAAACCGTCTGGCCCTGGCCTCAGTCCCCTCACTACAATGCCTTCACTCCCTCTCAGAGCTGGCCACGCGTCCTGCCAGGGCTGTGCTCTTAAAACAACAAATGGCTACCAGGAGCTGATCTTCTCATGAGAAAATCCAGATGCTGGCATGAGCTTTTAAGAAATTAGTGTTAAACATGACACCAGACCAGCAGTAAAAGAGCAAGGGGAGGTCCAGGCTCTTGAAGCTGCAGAGCTTGAATAAGGTCCCCAGCTGTGTCACAGCCACTGGGAAGCTGCTGTGGAGACATTGGAAAGCTCTTACACTGTCTGCCATCCTGCAAAAGGTATGGCCCTATGAAGTTACTCCCCAGGGGAGGTTTTTGAGGTCCAGGTGTGGCACAAACCATGTACACTAAAACACAGCCCTCTGCACATATCTCACTGCAAGGATGACCTCAGAGGGCAGGGACAGGCTCAACCACCACTGCTCCGGGAGCTTCATGCCCCAGATCCTCATGGGATCCTGCAAGGACTGAACAGCAGCCACAGAACTGTTCCCCTGAGCCAGTCCCACAGAGGAACATCTGGACAACTGCAGACAGCAAAACTTGCAGGCACCTAAGGAACACATCTGTCACAGCATATTAACTGACAAAAGAAACACACCTTGTTAGCAAATTGTGAGTCTGGCAACTGCCTGGTGTCAGCATTTCCAAATGAGAATACTCCCAATAAAACATTCTAGGTTCCTATTGATAAAATGATTTTGCAAATTGTGAAAGAAGGAACCCAATTTCTGGTCATTTTCACAGGCCATCATTAGACACTTGTGAAAATGCTTTTTCCAATAAGCTCATATTCCCATTAATAAGTAATTCCATCCAACTATGGGAGAAGGAGGGAAGGAGAGGAAGAAGGTATTTGAAGTGAGTTTCTTGCTGTGTTTACACTTTGGTGCTCAAATAAGCTCTCTGCTCACACCTCTGTTATAGCAGATACCTCAGCCTCACTCCTACCCATTTCCCTCATTTTATTCTGTGGTGTGTTTTGTAGGTAAAACTGATTTTTCAGCACATGAAATTAACAACATGCAAAGATTCTGCAGCATGAAGGGGTGCTGAAACTCCCTCGTCAGACTGAGTCTCATTGGTTGCATTTTGGGCAGCACTGCTTTCATGGAATCACAGCATGGTTTGGCTTGGAAGGGACCTTAAAGCCTATCTCGTTCCACCCCCTGCCATGGGCAGGGACACCTTCCACTAGACCAGGTTGCTCCAAGCCCCATCCAACCTGGTCTTGAACACTTCCAGGGATGGGGCAGCCACAGCTTCTCTGGGCAATGTGTGCCAGTGCCTCACCACTGTCTGTGGTCACCAGCAACATGGCAGTCCTGGGAGAAGTGAGCACAGCTCAGCATTCTGCTGTTTTCACTGCAAGCACTTCTGTGATTTCAACTCAGCCATAGCAGTTTGCAAAGCACAGAGCAGGATCCTTCCTGGCTTGGAGCACGGAAGGGTGCACGTACAGAAGAGCAGAGAAACAAATGCATCCAGAGAAAAGAAAGAAAGAGCAGTGTCAAATGCCAAGCAGCTTTGGAACACCAGTGGGGCAGGACCACCCACCAACACAACCTTTGCAGATAAGAGACTAAAAGCCCAGACCTGAGCACTGCTGGATGCTGGGGATGATTCAGTGGGAGCCTGATCCTCCTGAGCCTCATCCTCTGGCTGAAAAAAGCTGGTGTGAAGCCAGTGAGAAGGTGTGGGCAAGGCATTAAATCAGCTCATCAGCACAGCTGAAGTGGAGCAGCACTGGTGCTGGTCCCTGTGCAATCCAGAGGTGCTGGACAGCTGTACCCACATCACACTGGGCTGTGGTTATTCACAGCCCTATCCTTACATCCAGCTGAGAAAAGGCATAATAACGTTCTGACTGCTGTGTGTGGTCCCTGATGGCTCAGGATGCCTTTGGTGGATGAAGGATGGAGAAGCCTTCTTTGAGACCTTCCCATACTTGCTAAGGTAGCAATAGTTATAAGATAGCAGCAAATCCTTGGCTTCCATCTCCCAAAGAAACCCTGTTGCAAAATCTTACATCCACACCTGAAGCAGACAAATTCAGTTCATCTCCTTTACAATACTAAGCCTTATTCTTTTCCCTCTCCCAGCTTTCCCACCTGGCTCTTCTGCTGCTCCATGTAGTGAACAAGATGAACCAAGATTTAGAAACCAGCACTAAACACTTCCCAACTCTACTCTGGAATAGTAGGGGCTATAAATGACTTTAATCCCTGTAAAATCCAAACTACCTATCTCCGAAGTCCTAGATTAAGGCTTGATACCAACATGTGCAACACACTCCAATTTCAAGCACAAATAATGAGTAGGATTGGGGTAAAGTGATTCTTATCAATATATTTTATGTTACTCTGTTAGGAGAGGATTTGTTCCAGTCACCCTACTGCCCTCACCATGATTGATTTATTTTGCCAATTTACATCAAAGTCAGGTTATTCTCATCTGTAGATTTTACTCTTGGATCTAGAAATGAGGGCAACACTGAGAATTTATCTTCTTATGGGAACAATGGAACGAAAAATAAGAACAAAATGAAAAATTAGGTATGTGGTGGAGTCCTCAGTAAAGCAAGAACAGATTAGTTTTCTGTGCTTTATTAGTCTGTTTACCAACAGAATTGGAAAAATAGATTATGAAAAATAGGTCTGAAAAGTTAATAAAAGTGCAGCTTTAGAGAACAGGAAGGATCTGTTAAACCAAATTAGAAGTGTTCATATACTTATCTCTCCACCATTGCTTCCAATTAAAAAAAGGTATTGTTTTTATCTAAACCTATCTCTCTCTCTCTCTCTCTCTCTCTCTCTCTCTCTCTCTCTATCTATCTATCTATCCACTCACACCAGAATGATGCTTAATTCAAGCTGTTCCCAGTTAAAAATGGCCCACATAAGTACTGCCAATAGTTCTTTTGTGATGGATTAGTGAATGGAGTTAATATTGCTGATGGTCTCCCCTCTCTGGCATTCCAAAGCAGATGATAAATAAATGACATATTTGCACAAAGCAAAGTTTGTGACCTAGTTTCTCAAAGATCCTAAGAGAACACAATTAAGAGGAATAACTTGAAATGAGCTTTTCACTTGCACTTCAGATGAATCCCTGAGTGTATAAAATGTCCCACAGGTGATCTCACCAGGATGCTATCAAAAGTCATGGCTCCTGAGAGCCAAGTCCCAGCCTGCATTTTCACCAGACAGCCAGGGATCAGCCCTGGCTCTGCTTCCCTCCAAAGCCTGCTAGCACTGGTTCTTGCATAATGAGCATCAGTATTCACAAGGAGAGCAGAAGTGACTGATTATACAATACCACAGTCTTCTATAGATGGTCCTTGGCCCCCTCAAGCATCTCTACATCCACGGCCTCCAAGAGGTTCAAACCCAAAGCAAGATGCAAGTGTTAGCCCAGAATCTGTCACCCCATCTTTAGGGAAATCTAAGCAGAATCAGGGACATAAGAAACACAAACCAAGACAAATGAATCCATCACCTCAACTCTGAATTTGAAATTTTCAAGTCAGGAATTTCTTTCTTTATCATTTTCCTTCTCTCCAGGGAAGAACAAAGACTAGAAGCATCCCCACACCTTCACTCTGCCACCAAGTCCCTCTGTGTTCAGCCAGATTTTGAGAGGCACATCCTTTCTGGTCAAAGTGTCCTTCATTGGGCTGGTGAAGTCTGTAGGTTTATAGTTTCAACTTTCACTATTATTTTTTCCCAGTGATAATGAACAATCTCTCTTTCATTAAACCTTGAGCAGCTGTCTGCTGTACAAGTAGTAACATTTCTGCAAACTATGATGATCAGAAGTGTCAACATTTTCCCCCCTTTCCATAGTTGAGATAAGACATGATCTTGGACCAATACTCAAAGCATTTTTTCATCATCACAATAACTGCAAGAAAACAATCACTGCAACTGGTAATAAAAGTTAAACAAATATGCATTGAGAAATCTAGATTTCAGCATCCAGCTCAGTATTGTCCCTGCAGCAGTTTACTGTGAGGGTGCTCAGGCACTGGCACAGGTTGCCCAGAGAAGCTGTGGCTGCCCCACCCCTGGAAGTGTTCCAGGCCAGGTTGGATGGGGCTTGAAGCAGCCTGGTCTAGTGGAAGGTGTCCCTGCCCATGGCAGGGGGTGGAACTGGATGAGCTTCAAAGTCCCTTCCAACCCAAACCATTCTGTGACTTTATGATTTAGCACCTTGCTAACATAGATCAGGTATTAAGAGGAAAGTAGGCAGGTTTTACTCCCAGTCTGTCTTTGGCAAGCTCTTCTCCATGCTTCTACAGTAGTTCAATATGAGAGAGAACCAACAACTGCTTACAAGAACAAACTGATTCCAGCACTTCACATAGAGATGGTGCCAGGCACGTCTAGGGTCTGGAGAAAGCCATGGATGCTCACTTGTAGGAACCCGAATTGGAAAACCTGACTCTTTTGTCTGAAA